CAAGTGAAGCAGCTCAAATATTATTCATTTTCAATGTCGATAGAGAGAGTGATTGCATCCACATTGATCGTTGTAACATTATTCGATCTTTCGGCATAATTAAATCAACTTCTTCTTCATTGAATTTAAATTTACTGGATTCATTCTCTGCAAAAAATTATTATTATTTTTTTATTTATAAAAAATAAAAAATGAACAATTATCGAACTATTACGAAACTCAGAATTATTGTTCTGAATTACAAAAAAAAGAGACTAGTATTTTTTATTAGGGTTCCGTACCCGAAGGGGGAACCCTATTAATGAGACTAGTGAAGCAAGGCATGTACCCCTCCCCTAGCGGCCACACGAATTTATCTAGAGGGCTGAAATTTGGTATACATATGTACTTTGGCGTGTAGATTACAGGAAAAATATAGCGAATCTCATAGGAATTAATTATCATAGCGTTGTCAAGGAAAAACCATGAATTTTTACGAAAAATCCCTAAAAATGACTATGTACCCCCCCCCCTGGTTGCCACATCTTTTTACATAGAGAGCTCAAATTTGGTACACTAATGTATTTTTACGTGAAAATTACAGGAAAAATATAGCGAACATGATTCGGATTAATTTACATAGCGTTGTCAAGGAAAAATCAAAAATTTTGAAAAAAAGCGATTAATCCTCCTAGCGCACACAATATTTAACGAAGGCAGTTCATATTTAGTATACGTGCGTATTTTTGCGTGTAGATTACAGGAAAAATATAGCGAGCACAATTGGAGTTAATGTTCATATTGTTTTTAAGAAAAACTCATATTTTTAGAAAAAATCATGGATTTTTCGAATAAAAAAAGAAGAAAATTTTATCCTAAGGGATCCAAATTTATACTTTTTTACGTATTCCCTATTGAAAAAAAACACGTATAATTATACGTATAATTATACGTATAATTATACGCATAATTATACGTATTATTATACGTATAATTATATGTATTATTATACGTATAATTATACGTATAATAAGACATACGAATTTGAAACAAGAATTATACGTATAATTATACGTATATTAATACGTATAATTAATTATACGTATAATAATACGTATAATAATACGTATAATTATACGTATTATTATACGTATAATTATAATTCTATTAAAAATAGAATAATAGAATAGAATAATAATAGAATAATTAGTAGCAAAATTGCGCTGAAAATTTTTAGAAATTTTAAAATGCAAATTAAATTTCACGAAAAAAAATATCGTCGAATGTCAATTCAAGCAGTCACCCATCCAAGTACTAACCGCGTCCAACGTTGCTTAACTTCCGTGATCTGATGAGAACTTGTTCCTTCGCCTTGGTGTTTCCGCTGTCTTGTCTTGATTAATAACTTTGTCGTATAAGTATCACTAAAAGTGAGGTTAGGTGCGATACAATACTTATACGACAAAGTTATTAATCAAGACAAGACAGCGGAAACACCAAGGCGAAGGAACAAGTTCTCATCAGATCACGGAAGTTAAGCAACGTTGGACGCGGTTAGTACTTGGATGGGTGACTGCTTGAATTGACATTCGACGATATTTTTTTTCGTGAAATTTAATTTGCATTTTAAAATTTCTAAAAATTTTCAGCGCAATTTTGCTACTAATTAATCTATTCTATTCTATTATTCTATTTTTAATAGAATTATAATTATACGTATAATAATACGTATAATTATACGTATTATTATACGTATTATTATACGTATAATTAATTATACGTATTAATATACGTATAATTATACGTATAATTCTTGTTTCAAATTCGTATGTCTCATTATACGTATAATTATACGTATAATAATACGTATAATTATGCGTATAATTATACGTATAATTATACGTATAATAATACGTATAATTATACGTATTATTATACGTACAATTATACGTGTTTTTTTTCAATAGGGTTTTTACGTGTAGATTACAAAAAAAATATAGCGAGAACGATTGGAGTTAATTATCATAGTGTTTTCAAGGAAAAACTGATAATTTTCGATAAAAATCATGATTTTTCCCCAAAAACGAAGAATATTTTATCTAAAGAGTTTCAAATTCATACACTTTTACGTATTTTTGCGTATAGATTACAAAAAAATATAGCGAGAACTCCCATTGTGCTTGCTATATTTTTTGTAGTGTTTTGCCATTCTTTATAATTTGCCATTTTCTTTTTTTTACCATTTGCTATTTTTTTTATCTTTTGACATTTTTTATTTGTTGATATTTTTATTATTTCGTGAAATCTAAAAAAAATCATAAAATTGAAAATGTTAAATGATAAAAAAATTAAAAAAATTTTAAAAACTTATGATATTGAAAATAAATAAATGATAGAAGAAAGACCTCCACTCCACAACAAATTTTAGGATTAGGGGTACGGAACCCTCGGTTTTAATGCGAGTGTAACTCGCACTTGTCCGATTTTTTTGTAAATTTGTCAATCAACAATTTTGTATTTTTGATAAATTTATTGTAAAATTGCAGGCCTTGGATCGACTGTAGGATGCAAAAAAAAAATCATTTTAGTCGATTTACATTCCAAAAAAGGTGAAAAAATCGATTTCTTCATTTTACTTAAATTTTAATAATAATAATTCTCTAAGAATATTATCAAGAAAATTTATTTCGAATATTTTAAAATCAAACTAAGACAAATTTTCTACATTTTAATTAAGTAAAACAAATTTGTTTAAAAAAAATTTTTAAAGTTTTATTTTAAAAATTTTTTTGAAGTCTGATATAAGCAATTTATTTGAATTTAAAATTTTAGTTTTAATGGTCAAAAAAATTTTGCAGAAGATTTGAAATTGAAAATAAATTTTCTGTAAATTTTATCTGTTGTAGTTTTTTTTTATATTTATTTTCTGCCAACAATTCAATTTTGGAGTTTTTATTTGAAACTTTATTAAATAATTAAATTTTTGAAAGAAATATTAAAATTAATAAAAATAATTGAATTTCACCAAGTCGAAAAGGTCGTATAATCCAAGATCTGAAATTGTTAAAAAAAAGAATTAATACAATTTTTTAATGTACTTAACTTTTGATTTTAACAAAGATTTTTCCTTGAAAACTATAGAAAAAAATTCCAACCTTCTTCCTTGACTAGAATTAATTAAAAGACAATTTTTGTCTCCCTTTCTCAGGTGAAAAACACAGTAGAAAAACCACCAGATAGCCTGTGACACGACCAAAATTTGTTTTCTGTAAATTTCAAAGAAAAATCATTGTCAAAAAAAAGTGGTCGTGTCACGGGTTCTTTGGTGCTTTTTCTACTGTGTTTTCGTCTCAGAAAGAGAGACAAAAATTGTCTTTTAGATAATTCTAGTCCAGAAAGAAAATAGGAATTATTTTCACTAATTTTCATGGAAAAATCTTTTTCAGTATCAAAAGTTTGGTCATATCACGTGTTCTCGAGCGAGGACGATTAAAGTTGATGGATCTGGTTCTGTCAAGAAAAAATTGATAATTTTAGAAAAAATCATGAATTTTCTTCCAATAATGAAGAAATTTTTTTTCTAAAGGTCTTCAAATTTATTCATTTTTACGTATTTTTATGACCAGATTATAGAAATAATTTAAAAATAATAATAAAAAGTTGTTTTAATTAATTTTTTTTTCGAAAAAGAAAATTTTTTGAAAAAAGTAGACTTTTTCCATAATTTTTTTATTCGTTTCTCTGATTTATTTAATTTTTTCTAATTTTTTTTTCTTCCTCCTATTCTTCCTTTTTTTATTCGATATTCTTTACACATTTTTTAAAAAGAAAATGTTTATTTAAATTGAAAATAAAATTTCATAAAATTAAATCGAGGATTACGTACACGAAGCGAACTTATTTGGTATAAAAAAAATGTTTAAAAAATAATATAAGTTTGGTATGTCAAATAATATAAGTGATACAAAAAGGAACAATTTTGTAAAAAAATTTAAGAAAATTTTTTCTCTACGTATCATTTACATTATTTGCCATCCCAAACTTATATTTTTTAAACATTTTTTTTAATACCAAATAAGTTCGCTTCGTGTACAGAACCCTCGATTTCAGTGCAAGTATAATTTGCACTTGTCCGATTTTTATAAGTCTTTCAGGTTTCAAATTTATAATATATATAATATAATTAATAATATATTATAAAAAAATATGACAAATAAGAAGAATGAAAAAAAACAGATCGTTAAAAAATATATAAAGTGAATACAAATATACCTGAGAAAATAAAATTTATAAAAATGAACAAATAAATTATTACATTAACATATAAACAAACAAAACAAAAAAAAACTCCGAAGAGTACAATACACGATTAAATTTTTCATTAATTGAACAAATTAAGTGAAAAATACAAAAAGCAAATAGGTATAATTATAATTCCCTAAATAATGTGGCAAAATACCGTCTGATAATTGTTGACACAGGACCGCCATAACCAACAAATTTCGCTATATGCGAAATTATAACAGAGAACTAAATTGTTTCAATAAATAAATTGTAAAAAATAATCAAGAAAAAAGACAAAAAAAATGTTGTTTTAAAATTTTCTATTGGCCGAGACACATGCTGGACGCATTCGCCAAAATAAATTTCCGAAAAAGTATTACAACACAAAATTCAATTGTAAAATAGATAAAAATGTTCAATTTTTACGTACCATCAAAATGTGAGAAAAACGTCAATCATATAAATATAATATAAATGTGTAATAATGTTCAATATATCAATTTTTGTTTGCGTCAAAGTCATAATTAGTGGTGAAACCGGCAACTGGAAATGTACAGCAGGGATTGGTAGGTAAATGTAACACACTTTAAGCTGCTTCTACAATAGGTACAATTTGTGTTGCACAAGTGCAAATAAATTGTACTTGGTTGCGCGCGCATCGTAGTACCAACTGTCGCGAGTTACAGCAAGAAATGGTTTTCTCCAGTTTGGATTAAAATGTGCAGAGTGTATTAGATGGGTATATTTAATTTTCTTCTCGTTCGCAAGTCGGCGTGTAAGTAATGAAAGACTTGATAATATATACAATTATTTCTAAGTTTTTTTATTACATTTACGAAGCTGTAAATTTAAATTATCTCCTTGCAACTCTACTTACAAATTATAATTCAAAGGCAAATAAAGAAAATGTCATTGAGTAATTGACAAAAATTAATTGTATGTATATTAATAATCATTATTACAAATGGTAATTTTTTTTTCTGAAAGTAGACCGCAATGATTTTGGGCGAAATTCACTGGAAGGACCCTGTAACTGTAACAAAAATATTTTTTTTTACTATTTCAGAAATTTCTTTGCATCTTATGAGAAGTAAACAAAATTTTTCATTTCAATGTAAACTAAAATTGTTTACTTTTAGGTGATTCTTTCACAAATTACTATCATCATATTTTGATCCATTTCTAAAATTTACCAACTTTGCTTGCCTTAACTTTCTCTCGAATATGTTACAAAGTATTTTTTTAACCAAGCAGTGACCTTCCTTTCATTTAATTTTATTAATAAACAAACTATATTAATTTTGTAGAGCACTAATCCAGTAATTATACCATATTATTCTGACAATTAATTAACCGAATAGATACTCTCAAATATGAATCTTTAATTAAAATTTTTTACAGCAAGGATGTTAAACTATTTTATGATTCTGGTGATTGTGCATCATTGGCTAAACCTACTGAATTTAGTGCGGAGGTATTTGGAGCAGATACAAATGGCTGAGGGTCGTCGATGGTATTGTGCAAATAACGACTCCGAGGAGTTTTACAACCTGGTCAGAATGGACGTTGAATGCTTTCAAAACTTGTACAACATTCTGCACTTCAGGCTTCTGAAAACTAGTTTGAGGAAACCATTGAGTGGAGAGCTTAAACTGGCCCTTACACTAAGGTATGATGAAGAATTTATTGACAATTGATAAAACTATAAAGTTGATAAAGTGCCTCATTCAAATTTTGCGGTTAGATATTATCATTATATTAATACATTATTACACCATTTTTAAATACTTATTGCTTTATAACTTTTAAAGGAAAGACAATTTTTTCTGGTTGTGGAAGATTTATAAATTAAAATTTTTTTCATAGACCTCGAATTGAGAGTTACGATTTTCTTTATGAATTTAACTGAAAAGTTCATAATTTAATTTTCATTACATCCCTCCTACACAAGGACATTATGTGAAATCAAAATTATGATGTAATGTACATAGTATTGTCTTTTGGTTTCGTACGATCTTGCTTTCACTAATCATGTCTACCGTAAAAAAATATTTCTTTTCTATATAATTATAAAATGTCCTTCAAATTTTACTTAGGGGAGGGTGGGGCTAATCCGGACATGAGGCTAATTCGGACAGGTCAAGTATCTCTTAAACAGTGGACAGTATCAAAAAGTTTAGACACTCTTTGAATACCTCCTGACATGATGCATATATGTCATTAGGTTTTTATGGCATTTCATTATTGCTGTAACAGTAGTAGTTGTCTATTTGCGTAACATCGTGTTTTTTTACTCAGAGATGACAGCGTAGGGCTAAACCGGACAAATCAGAATTTGTATATTGAATGGCCAACGTAAAGCTTATAAAATAGGTGAGTGAACTACTGACAGTTGAATTGATTGCCAAAACTGTTGTAGTGAGCCGAATATTGAATCTGAAGACGAAGATGAACTTTTTTAAACATTTTTTGTAAAGGTTTTAATGGCATTACATGAACATTACCATCAATTATTAATTTCAAGAAATCGTCAATTAAATATAAATTTTCTTCCATAGAAATTTTCAAATATATATCAATTAAGTATCTGTTTCAGGATTAGCCCTACTCTCCCCTACTATTTTCGCAAAAAAAATTTTTTTTTATACTTTCGAAAAAGAAAGCAGGTTATAAATATTGATGTAGTCGTTTGTTTTATTTGCAGCTACATGGCTCACGGAGACAGCTTGTTTTCTACAGCCAATTTATTTCATGTAGGTAAAAGTACCACCTACAAAATTGTAGGTGAAGTGTGTCCAATCATTTGGGAATTGTTGTCACCAATTTACCTTGCCTGGAAGTCAGCAGAGGAGTTAAAAGTTGTTGCAGAGGGCTACCAAAGAAGGTGGAATTTTCCTCATTGCTTAGGATCCCTCGACGGCAAGGAGATAAGAATAAAAGCTCCTCCGCATTCAGGAAGCATGTTTTACTGTTATAAGAAATTTTTTAGTTTCAAATTGCTGGCGATGTGTGATGCGTTTTACCGTTTTACTTGGGTAAACGTCGGCGATTACGGTAAATTATATTTCAAAATCTTAATTCATTTTGTTTCGGCTGAATTGCTTTTCGTTTACTGGGATATCAATGACTAAATTGTTTAAAATCCTTTTAGGTTCTATCAGCGACTTGTCAGCGTTTAGGAATACTCATTTATTCCAAGCTCTTGAACGAAATGAAGTTGACCTTCCGGAAGATGATTTTCTGCCACGCAGCAATATCAGGATGCCCTTCTTTTTCATTGGAGATGCAATATTTGATATTAAGCGATATTTCATGTTACCCTACAACCGAAACCGCCGTCTCTGTAGAGAAGAAACCACTTTCAATAAAAGCTATTTAAGTTAAACGAATAAATCATTATTGTATTAATTACTATTAATTAAACTGATATACATACAATTTTGATATTCTGATGTTGATAATTTTTTATTCAAATTGAAGTGTTCATGCCAGGTTTCGTTTTTTGAAAATTTCAAATTTCTGTGAAAAGAAAATGTATTTAAAAAAATTTATATAAATTTTAACATTTTCATAAATTACTATGAATTACAATCTACCTACAGGTTTGAGAATAGCTCAGGCACACAAAACAAATTTTTTTCGCCAAGACACTACTCCAGTATATGCTCATGTCTTTATCTGCGCTGAATTTCCAATCCGAAGTTAGAATAGTCAGATTGGCTCTTGCTTTCGAGTGAAAAACGACTCAACAAAACCAATTGAAACAAAAAAAGGAAAATTGTTTTGCTATAACACTACAGTAGTTTTTTCTCTCTGAATTAAAATTCGAAGTCTGAATTGAAATATTGGATAAAAATTTTGAGATTAACTCAAAAAATGCTTAAAATCACGAATGTTACAAAGAATTTTTTGCTCGAAACGTTATTTAGATTCATGGGCAGGGTTGCCACGCTACCTGGAAAACCTGGAAAAATCAGGGAATTTTAAAAATCTGGAAAAAACCTGGAGAAGTCATGGAATTTTCCTCTGAATCCTGTAAACAAAATTTTTCAATTATAATCATCGATTTTTTCACTCTTTAAATTTTATCAATAATTTTTAATTTAATTCAATTGATAAAAGCTTCAATTTATTAAACTTTGTAATCAATTTAAAATTTAGTAACGCAAAAATTCTTAACTTTAATCAGTCAAAACATTTGTTCCTAGAAAGAATAATCGTTTCTAAATCTGATTCATCAACAAATTTTAAATTACCTAAATTATTATTAATTTTGTTTCTAATCAATCTACTTATATTCTAATGATCCAAACTTCAATTTATCGAATTTTTAATCTCCTTAAATTTGTAATTGATCTATGCAAATTGTTATCTACTAAACTGTTCCTATTTATCAAAATTTCAATCAATCTTTATTTTTATTGACAAAAACTTAAAGGGAAGGAAATTTTAATCCACTCTAAATTAAATTCATCCAAATTTCTCACTATCTAAATTAAAATCAATTCTAATTTTAATCAATCTTAAACTGAAAATAATAAAATTTCAGTTTATCAAAATTTTTATCTGTTCAAATTTTAGTAGATTTTAAATTTGCAGCTGACTGAAATTATTATAGATCCAGACTTTATGTTACCTACATCGTTTCTTATGGAAATAAAATTTTTATTTTTATATTTAAATGCAACTTTTAATTGATTTAGGTTTAAAAATTAAATTCTTTACCCTTCCACCAAAATGTTTAAAAAATTTTCATCTCATTTGTCAGAATATGCTTAAAATTTTCAGACTATTTAAAATAGTCAATTAAGTTTTCTAGAACTTTTCAGCTTGTTTTAATAAAGTCAATGAAAAATTGTAAAACTGTACACTAAATATTTGCTAAAATATTGACCGCCTGAAAGAAAAAAACTGACGATAAAATTTGAAAGCCATTTTTTTCTTCAAATTCAAATATAAATCAATTGAATTTTTAGTTAGGGTAAAATTGAATATTTTAAAAATAAAATTTTGCGGACACTTTGTTAGGTATTTCTCTCTAATTCAGATGACTAAAGAGAGACCAAATATGCATTTTGCATTTGAGGAAAAAGTACATGACAATACACTAACGTAGTGTAGCAGCAAACAAAAATTGACTCTTTTGACTTTAATTCATGATTTTTAGCAGATTTTTTACTTCATCTTATTTATATTAAAATTTTGAGCCAATCAGACAATTCGGTCTTCACATTCGGATTCAGCAGGAAAAAATGCATGTGAATACACTAGTGCAAGTGTCTCTGCCGAAAGAAAATGTTCTTCATTTGATTTTCATTTGTTTTTTAAAGCAGTTTTTAGAGTTTATCTCAAAATTCTGAACAAGTATGACAATTCTGACTTCGGATTCAGCGGGAAAAATGAAATGGGAATTGGCGATTCAAACAGCTACACTAGCGCCACAGTTGAACTAACTTAGGCGTGACTCGCTCTGTAGCACTCCATGTGTTTTAAATTATTTTTTTTTATTTAACGCTTAAAAATTATTTTACAAACGCAATAAAAATATCAGAATAATTAAATAATTTGAAATAAACTGTCACAACAGAGACTGCTTTAGAGCGAGTCACGCCTAAGTTAGTTCAACTGTGGCGCTAGTGTAGCTGTTTGAATCGCCAATACGCTACTGCAGTGTCATAGCAAAATAATTTTTTTTAAAATTTTAATTCGTTTTTTTAGTATAACTCAAAAACAATAGCTAATCTGACTATTCTGACTTTGGATTCGGATTCAGCGGGGAAAAAAACATGAGAATATACTTCTGTAGTATCTCGGCCAAAATATATTTCTTTTTTACGTGCCTGTGTATTTAAATATTTATGTTAGTATACGTTAAGCAAAATTTACAACATAAATATATTGTTCAATAATTACTCTTACTCAAGGTTATCTCGGGCAAGGAATTGCATAGAGGATACATATGGAATGTGGACCAGCAAATGGCAAGTTTTTCACACTCGTCTCAATTTCTCATTGAAGAATTCAATAAACATTGTCAAAGCATGTGTATGCTTGCACAATTTCATCATAACACATGAAATAATGATTCCTCCAGACAGAAGGCGGTATTCTGTTCCCGTACGAGTCGTTGAAGGAGAACATGTCGTTTGTAGAAACGAACACGTTTTCATTAATAATGTTGCAAATGATCCGTACGAACAGAGAAACATGTTAGCGGCTTATTTTTCTTCCCCTGCAGGGCTAATTCGTTATATTCAAGGTATCATCTTTATTTACACTGCAATCAGCAATATTCAATGCAATTTAAGGGGTTTCACCACTTTGACATGACCAAAAAATAAGATTTTCCAATAATTTTTACTGAAGAATAAAAATTTGTTTATGAAATTTAAAATACAGTAGGCTATTTTGAACCTATACTACTGTTAAATACCTATACTACTGTATACTACTGTTGAACTACAAAGAATTTTTTTTTGCAACACTAACCTCTAAAGTTGAATTTTACACACCGAAATCTGTGTGTAAAGTGCCTCTTTATAAAACGGTATGTAAAGTGATTCACTTCATGCACTGATATTTACTTTACGCACTGTTTTGACTGCTTAATAAAAAAAAGAGAAAGAGGAGAATTAGGGGACTAAAAATCGCTAATTCTGATACATAATTTTATCTATAATACAAGCTTTTCAAATTATTAATTTTAAACACCCCTCCCCCCTCACCTAAACTTGCAGCAAAGTTGCCAATATAATATTGATGCAAGTTCAAGTATTTTAGTGTTGCAAAAAATTTTGTATGATACACGTGCGTAAATCAGATTATACTCGTGTGATTTGCATCACTCGTATAATCAACGACTTTACGCACTTGTATCATAAATAACTATTTGAAATAAATAAATAATAAATAAATAAATAACCACTTGAAATATCGGTTTATCAGTAATGGCATATTATTTTTATGCCTATAAAGAGTACTTTCAGCCAAAAAAAAATTTCAAATTAGTGCAACTCCTTAACATAACTATAACATTAACTTAAGATCACAAAAATGCTTTTTTAATTCTACTTTACTATTAATTCGAATATTTTATCAGACATTCATAAAACAATACTTTCAATTTTCAGTGTAATGGTGGAACCAACTTCTCACTAGAAAGCGATAAAAGAGAACGTCATACAGTGAAGCAGTGATTCCGTTGCTTTGATTCGAGTTCAAATAACTCTTCAAGTTTAGATGACACTTGGAGAAAACGGAAGCGCATAAAAAAAGAATCGAGTCAAGGAATTGATGAAGATAAAAAAGATACGCTTCAGAAAATGAGCAAATGCAAGTGGCAGTGATTATTACGATAACAGAAAGAAAGCAGGACTCAGGAGATGAAAACTATTAGTTGAGGAAGAAACGATTCGCTAGCGAAAGCAAAGTTCCTGAACATTATCACTGAGCAGTGAAAACATTGTTAAACGATTTCACGTTGAGAAGGCTGAAAACGACATGAAACGTCTGGAAAAGTTGATCCGAAAAAAAACGTACAAAATTGTTATCCAGTGACATCGAAAAACGAATTCTAGATGAAGCTAAATTACAAGACATTGTTTCATTAAAATAATGCGATAAAGGCAAAAATCAGGATCCCATTAAAAGCAGGCACGAAAGCAGTAGAAGAAAAGCGCGAAGCTGATAGTCTTGACTCGATTCGTGACGAAAGATCTCAAAGAATAACTTCAATACTTAACGGTGAAGTGAAATCGGTGTTTCTAATTTAATACTTGTGGCAAATTATATACAATTTTATGTCGGATACATGTCTTTATTGATAATAATTTGTGATTTTGTATGTATTTCTGTATTTTTTATTTTATGTATTTTTGTATAAAATATAAGCTTATTTCAGTATTTTAAATCTGATAGCATTTCGGGAATAAAAATATAATCTAAATACTAACTTGAAAAAATTTCTTGAGGAAACATAATTTTGTAATAATAATAACTGCTTCTAAGAAAACTTTTTTAAGCGAATCCAATGAATTTTTAAAAATTCGTTCGTGATATTGGATCCGCCATTTTGAATTTTGAAAAACTGACATCGAATTCGTGATCAGAGACCACAAAAACCCCCAAGTAACCAGATTCAAGCGAATTTAAGCGATTTTTAAAATTTTTGTCCGCCATATTGGATCCGCCATTTTGAGTTTTGAAAAACTGACATCGAATTCGTGGTCAGCAACCCCAAAAACCCCCGAGTAACCAGATTCAAGCGAATTTAAGCGATTTTTAAAAATTTGTCCGCAATATTGGATCCGCCATTTTGAATTTTGAATATATAACAACTTATAACAATTTACTAATGGGTCTATATTATCATTCTACAATTCAGAGATCAAGAAGAGTAAATTTAATTACCTAACCATAAAAACTTTACATATTTTTTTGAAAATATGAGTAATATGTAAAAAAGTACGTGATTTTATTTGTTTATATTAATATAATTATTTATGCAAATTGAAAATCAAAAATCGGGCTCGAGGGATCTCTTACAATTTTATTAAAGATTATTTAAAAAAAAATTCCAAAATCGGTTGCGATTTGTAGGCTCTAGACAGTTTTGAACCCTACTTATTGATTTTAAACCACTATGCACTGGTACATGTGCGGCGACTAGGACATTTACCTTACTGAAATAAAAAAAATAAAGAAAATTTCAATTGGTTCAACTATTATATATCTACTACAACTTTTTATCAAGTTTTTTCATCCCTTAATACAGTAATATACTTAAGAAAACTTTTTTCTTAAACCTTTCTTAAGAACTATGCTGTCCCCAATTACCTCAAATTTGAGGAAATTTTTTAAATCTTGGGATAAATGGGGACAGAAGTTTTTTGCTCATCTAGTTGTAAGAAAATGAACTTTTATGT